CCTTGACAGACTGGCACAAAGGACGGTCTGTCCCATCTAGCCTTGCCGGGACGCAGATCCCAACGACGGAGTCTGTTTTGGAGTCCGCCAGGCCAGCAAACTGGCCTATACTCACCATGCCCTTGGACTTCAAATAGTCCGCGACGCGGGGGTCCACCCCGTGCTTTTGGAGCAGCTTCGACAGGCGCACATCTAGCTCTGCCATGTCTTATCCAAGGTCACTAGGGCGGGTTTGTGGGACTTCGCTGGCGCCGTATTGGCGCGCTGCCTGAGCCGATATGGCTACGGACAGCTAGCTGCGAGAAGCAGGAGGAGCACGAGCAAGGGCAGGAGGAGGAGGAGGGACGATCGCAGGGCCCACTGCGCCATCGACTGCGGATCTCTGCTGCGACGCGATGCTCCGCCGGAGGGCCTCGAGGCGACATCCTCCGAGCAACGGGCACCGCCACCGCCACGACAACCAACGCACAAAGACGCTACGGCATGCCACGCTCACGTTTTTCTGCCCCCGGTGGCCCAAAGTAAAAGCAGCAGGAGGTGACGACAGTGCACTCGCTTCCACCGGCCTTCCGCCAAGGGCATCCGTCCTCTTGGATGCCCCCCGTTGAAGCGCAGTTACCTTCGCTGAACAGAGACGCGCGGCCCCCTTCAGGGAGGGGGGTGACCAGACGGGGGCGAGAGAGGAGCGAGGGGGGGGCGAGGAACGAAAAAGAGAGAGAGAAAGAGATAAGGAACAGGGCGAGAGCGATAGGTAGTAAGAGAGGACACGCGGGGGGAGGAAGCAGGGGGGGAGGCACAGGGAGGCAAGGCTTCTGCTCACTGCTCCCCCTCTTGCCTGGACTCGGAGGGTAGGTGGTAAGTTTGGACGCCACCGGCCCTGCCCACCATGAGCCTCCCGACAAGACTATTTTTGAGCATTCCTCCTGTAGCGGGACGTGCCCGACTTGAGGCCAGCGGGGGGAGCGTAAGGGGGCAGACACACGCCGGAAAAAAATGGTGCGCGCCGGGGGCCTGGCTCACAGGAACTGCCAGGCGGAGTCCTGCTCCGGAGGCCGCAGGAGGGGGAGGCGAGGAGGAAGAGGAGGAGGAGGAGGAGGAAGAGGAGGACGAGGAGGACGAGGAGCAGCAGGATGAGGAGGAGGAGGAGGAGGAGGCGGAGGTCATCTCCCTCGTCCCTCCCGCTGCGCTCGTCGCCAGCTTCCAACCTCTGCCCTCTTCCGCCGCGGTGGCCCCGGGGCCTCGGGGCCGCCTCTGGCGGGGGAGCAGGCGAAAGCGGCGGCGAGGGACGGGATGAAGTTGGCACGAAGGAGCCGGCGGCGTGCAAGGGGAAGGTGTCTCAGAGGGGAGTTCGCGAATCATGGCCCGAAGCACATGTGCGGACTGCTAACATCGTAAAACATCACGCCTCACGCCCGGAGCACTAGACCCAATCTTCTGCGTCATTTTCCGAGCTGGATCGATGTGAAGGTCTCGGGGCCCGAAATGATGCGAACACGCGGGCTCAAAAAAATGGAGTCGCCAGAATCTCAGGGCCAGTCATGACCTCCCTGTTGTTGGCGGCGAGCGAGGGAGGGGAGTGAGGGCTTCTGAGAAGTCCCGCCGCCTTCTGAGAAGGTCTTCTCCTTCTCATTTCCCCCCCTCGCTCGCCGCCGATGCTGAACTCACGCACAGCAACGCGCCCTGTGTTGTCTTCGCAGTTTCGGGGCCCTTGGGGCCATGCCACGGGTCCCAGCCCAACACATTCAAGACACGACCCAGGCTGCAGACCTGGACGTCGGCGGCAAGCGAGGGGGGAAACTTCGAGATTCGAGGCTCGAGGTCTTCGGGGGGTACTGGCGGTTCTCGGCTGCGCCTCGCCGAGAGCGAGGCCTGGAGATGCGTTGAGGGGCAACGAGAAGGGGGAGACTGGCATAGGGGGGGATGCATCGACATGGAATCGGCGATACATCGCCGATAGATCGGCGATAGGCCCCTGATAGTGAATCCGCACCTTCCTGTGCAGGTTGGGGCTATCGGGCCCCAATCGGCGAGCAATGGGCGATTGCGTGTCGATGCATTCCCCCCCCCTGTGCCCATCATCCCCCCCTATCGTTGCTCCCGATGCGTTCCAGCGACAACAGCGCCGTGCAAGCACCGGGGCGCATCGGATCGTCGAAGCATCAGAGTCGGATCGGATCGGATCCGTCAGGGGTCCCTCGGAGCAAGCCAGTGCGCCCCTAAGCTCCTGAAGCCGAGTGGATTCGTTGAAAGCCTCCCCCTCCTGGTCCTCCCCCTATTCCTCCTCCTCCTCCTCCTCCTCCTCCTCCTCCCCATTCTCCTCCTCTTCCCTCTCCTTCTCGATCGCCTCCTCGTACTCCTCATCGTCTTCCTCTTCTTCTTCCTCATACTCCTCCTTCTCATTGTCCTCCTCCTCCTGCTCTTCCTCCCATTCCTTCGCCTCCGCAGGCTCCTCATCATCGCCCACCTCGTCCTCCTTCCTCCTCCCTTCTACCCCAGCTCCTTCTGACCGTGCGCCCTCAAATCCTGGTTGCCCAAGGCACCACAGGGGCTCCCCAGGGCTCCCTCCTCGCCCTGCTATTACGTCAAATGTATGTTTTCTGCAGCTGCCACTGCTACAATCGTGCTCGGGAAGAACAGGATGGCTTGGACCGCGTTGGAGCCCTCTTGGAGGCAGCTGGGTCCGTCTTTGATCGATCTGGGAAGGAGGGAGGGGAGGAGCAAGGACAGACTAGGGGTTACGCATCCATCCTCGTCGTTCTGCCATCCTCCTCCTCCTTCGCCTCCTCCTCGTCGTCGTCCTCCTCAAGGAGGCGGCGACAATCGTGTCCTCGAAAGTTCCTTCAGACAATGATGCTTTGATCGATCTGGGAAGGAAAGAGAAAACCACGACTGAGTAAGGGTTCCGCTTCCATTCTCGTGACTCCGCCCTCCTCCTCCTCCTCCTTCTCCTCCTCCTCGTCCTTCTCCTCCTCCTCCTCAGCAGCAGCATCATCATCATCATCAGCAGCAGCAGCATCATCAGCATCATCCTCGTCGTCATCATCAACAGCATCAGCATCAGCGTTATAATCAGTATCAACAACATCCTCATCAACAACACTCTAACATTTGCCATACACGTTATCATCCTCATCCCTTGCCTCCGCCCTCCGCCCTCCGTCTCCTCCTGCTCCTCTTCCTCCTCATCCTCCTCCTTCGTTTCCTCCTCCTCCTCCTCTTCCTCGTTATCCTCCCCCGACTGGCGGCGGCAATCATGTTCCAGAACACTCTCCAAAAACAGTATGGTTTGGGCCGTGTTGGGGCCCTCTCTCTTGGAGGCCTGTTGGCCCATCTATGGGCGATCTAGGAAGAAAGAAACGAAGGAAGGAGGGAGCAACGCTTGAGTAAGGGTTGCGCGTCCATCCTCGTCCTCGGCCTCCTCACTCCGTCCGCCCTCCTCCTCCTCCTCATCCTCCTCCCTTCCTTTTGTCATCTTCGTTCTGATCCTCATACCCTGTCTCCGTCATCAGTCTCCCTCACCTCCTCCTCCTCCTCCTCCTCCTCCTCCTCCTCCTCCTCCTCCCCTTCCTCCTGGAAGGCCGTGTCTCTTTGGCTGTAGCTGTGCTGGCGGCTAAAGTGATGCCTTTGTGGCCTAAGCTTGCCATGCGCCCCAGTGTTGTTCGTAATCCTCCTCCACCCCCGCCTCCTTGCGGCGCCCCGAGGCCCCCGCGTTCGGGGCACTCCTGGTCTTGGACTGGCAGGTTCTGGCAATGTTTGCGCTGCTTCCGAGGGGCTCGGTCCCAGGAGAGACCGGCCGCTGGTATTTGCCCGGGGGGAGTCGGTGTCGGTGTTGGGATTCGAGGCTATGATGCTCCAAAGTTGGCTGCTTTGGGGCACAAGATGTTGTTTCTCGACGCCAGCGACGGTAGTTTTGTGCTTCTTTGTTTAAGGTGCAAGTCCTATACTTGTGGTGGCCAAGTTCGGGGTCTCCGACTTGAGTGCAAGCCCTTGCCAAAATCTGGAGCTCAAGGTCGGAAGCATGCCTGGAACCAGGTTGCTTCAGGACTGCACCCCAAGAATTCTGGAATTACTGTAACCGTGTGGCCCTTGGGGCAACACGGAAGATGAGGATCCTGCTCCCCTCGTCGAGCCTCCTCCCCCCCCTCGGAGGAGGATTCGGACGGCCTTCGCACGCTGCGCAGAGTCTCGATTGCTTTGCGGCTCTTGGGTGCAGCTGCAGGGCCAAGTCAACCTAGAGCTCGTGGAGACCACTCCGAGTCCGGGTATGATTAACTTGTTTTCTTGTTTTTTCCCCTGGCGGGTCTCGCCCCCCCGCTTGAGGTGTGTGTGGGCAGCTTGGCGCCGTCGACGGCAAAAATTCCTCCCCTTCCTCCTCCTCCTCCTCCTCCTCCTCCTCCTCCTCCTCCTCCTCCTCCCCCTTCTCCTCGTCCTCCTCCTCCTCCTCCTCCTCCTCCTCCTCCTCCTCCGCCTCCTGTTCCTTCTCGCCCTCCTCGGACTGGCGGCGACAATCACGGTCCTGGAAAACCCTTCGGGAGCATGAGGGCCGTGTTGGGGCCCTCCTTGGAGGCCTCTGTAAGGCGCTTTTGGGGTGTCGAGGTTCCTTTGGGTCGGGGGGCTGTCTTGGGGGATCCCTGGCCCTCTGTAGAGCCCTTTTGTGGTGTCGAGGCTCATTTGGGGGGCCGTCTGGGCGCCTTTTGGGCCACCTTGGGCTCCTCTTGGGCCGTCTTCTCACCCTGGTTGGGTGTGTTGAACTTCTTTGGCGATGTTCGAACGCCGGCAATCTGAACAGGTGACAACCCGGGAAACTCTGCGGAAAACGCTTGGAAATTCAGCTATTCCCAAATCTCTGTCGGAAAACATGTTGGAGGCCTCTGGAAGCGTCTGGGAGGACAGGTGGGCCGTTTCGAAGCAAGCGTCACCGCCTTCGGGCCGTCTTGGAGCCCTCTTTGCCCCTTTTGGAGCCTGTTTCGCGTGACCAGGCTCTTGTAGGGTGCCGTCTTGGGGCCTCCTGAGCCATCCATGTGTTTGCTTCTCTGTTCCAGGAGCGCGGCCGCCAGATGAGGTCAGGTGCGACGCACCCGAAGGAAGGAAGGGTGGAACCGTGGCGGGTCCCGTGCCCGCCGATGCGGCGCACAGCACGCCAGTAACAGGGCCCAGCGCTCTTGGCGGAGTCATCGCGACCGAGCGAGCCTTGCGGTTGAGGCAGAGGCGAGCCGGACGGAACACGAAGCCGAAGAGGCTCGCCAGCCATGCGACTCGCGCACACGTGCGGCAGCAACGTCCTGCGCGAGGCGTGGCAGGAAAAGAGAGCGGGCCGGCGATGGCGCACCAGCGCCAAAAAAGCCCCCGCCTGCAGCCAAACTTGGCCTGCACTTCTGTGACCCCGGACACAGCTCGACAGCCGCACATCAAGAACGAAGGACGTCAGCCAGCCTGCATCGCACGACTCGATCCGCCTCCACACCGATGGGCGAGCGCTTCGTGCTCGGCTCGCTCGCCCACGGGCTCGGCGGCGCGCCCTGCCGGCCCGAGCCGCCGCCTAGTTCTTCTTCTTGGCGGAGGCGCCCGGCGTGGCCTGGATGTCCTGGAGGCACAGGGGGCACACCTTGTTGCGCTTCAGCCACTTGTCGATGCAAAGCCTGTGAAAGTGGTGCCTGCAGGGCAGCTGGCGCATCTCGTCGGCCTCCTCGAAGTCGCCCAGGCACACTGCGCAGTTCGTCTCCGAACACCCGTGGCTGCGGGAGCAGTACTTTACGGTCGGCATGGTGTCGATAACGTCCTGCGTGGCTCCTCGGGGCTTGGGGAAGGGCCGCTCTCCCTGCTGCGCCGGGAACGAGTGGTAGAAGATTATCAGCGTCATGGCCAGCCTCGCAACGGCGGTGGAAATAACCGCCAATGTCAGCCTGTACAGGCCGGGGCACGGCTTGCACGTCGTGGAATTGAGGAGCCAGACCACACCCAGAATGAACCATCCATAGGTGACGATGGAGACGGCCTTGCTCATCCTCCAGGCTGAAGACTGGGTGAGCTGTCGGACGCACTCCTGGATGTCTCCGTTGCGTTGCTGGATCTGGCGGAGGCGCATGAAGAACACCAGTCGTACGGGTGCCTGCATCATCTGCAACACGCAGTGGACCAGCACCCATATCCGCAGCGGCCTGTTGCACTGCTCGCAGGGCGTCCAATACATGAAGAGGAAGACGCTGCAAGGAATCGAGATGAGGACGCCAGAGACGCTCCCGAAGAACATCACCACCTTGATGAACCAGGCCGCCTCCTCGGGGTACTGCTGCACCACGTCCAGGAGCGGGTCCCCGTTCTCCTGCTGAACGTTGTCCGCGCCATCGAAGTACGAGCCCACCCTCGCCTGAAGTGCCTGCAGGCTGGCCCGTATGCCCTGCACCTCTGCCATGGCCGCTCACCTACGGCGCGGCGGGCCAACTGCACCTCCGCCGGGGCGGGAAAGTCTGCGGGCGGCCCGCGGGGCTTATTGGTGGGATCGGGATGTTACCGAAGCGCCTCCCGAACCCGTTACTGCCCCAGTCCGCCCCTTCGGCTTGAGCAATAATAGGCACGGAATGGGGCCTCTTATGGCCATCTTGGGCGCCTCCTGCGCCGTCTCGGCGCCCACGTGGGGTGTGGTGGGGCCCTCCTGGACGCCTCGTGGGCCGTCTCCGAGAGTCAGGAAGCGGAGCGGGCGACAACGGTCAAGTCTTCGACAAAAAACAAAACAGGAAAATCAGTGTGGGCTCTCTCGGATGGAAATATGTAGCCTCTTGTGGAGTCGTGGAGGCCTCGTGGGCCGTCTCGAAGCAATGGTGGGCGGGCTGGGGGCGTTTTGGGGGCCCTCTGGGCTCTCTCTTCAGGGCCCTTCTGGTGGGTCGAACCACGTGCTGCCCCCATGCGGCACGTTGGCACTGGTCCGTCCCCCCCCCGCCCTACTCCGATATGTAAATGTATATGTATACATACGTGCATGCATTTATACATACATATATACACATACATGCATGCATGCATGCATACATACATGCATCCATACATTCATACATACATGTGTACACCATGCATGCTCGTATGCATGCATACATACACATACATTACATACATTACATACATTACATACATTACATACATTACATACATTACATTACATTACATTACATTACATTATATTACATTACATTACATTACATTACATTACATTACATTACATTACATACATACATATATACATACATACATACGTACATACCTACATACCTACCTACCTATCTACCTACCTACCTACATACCTACATACATACATGCATACACATACATGCATGCATACATACATGCATACATACATACCTACACAGACGGGCAGACAGATAGACAGACCGACAGACAGACAGACATGCATGCATACATGCATACATACGTACACACATACATACGTACGTACGTACATACATACATACATGCATACATACACGCATGCATCCACACATACATACATACATGCATACATACGTACATACATACATACATACATACATACATACATACGTACATACGTACACATATACACATACCTGCACGCATACATACGTACGTACATGCGTACATACATAAATACATACATGCATACATACCCATACACATACATACATATATACATACCTAAACACATGCATACAAACATGCATGCATGCAAACATACATACATACATACCCATACAACAATACAGTCACACGTACGTCCGTGCATACATACATACATGCATACATACACACATACAAACATAAGTACATACATCAATCCATGCAACAATACATACATACATGCATGTCTACATACATACAAGTACGTATGCATACATGCACACATACATACACATATACGTGCATGCATACATGCATGCATGCATGCATACGAACAGACAAACAGACAACAACACATCTATCGGATGTTGGGGGGTGAGATCGCAGTGGAACGAAGACCCCCAACCTGGAAATCGTTTCGTTTCGTTCGTGTCGTGCGTGCGGGCGAGGCGAAGCTGCGTGGCGCGCGAGAGGAACGAACCCGCCGTCTCTAGGGCGAAGTCAGGACACATGCTTCTCCTCCGCCGTCCGTCCGGCGGTAGCTTGAGCGGTGCCCCGCGGTGTCCCGTAGTGTCCTGTGGTGACCGCCGTTGCTGGGGCGAAATCAGGACACATGCTTCTCCTCCGCCGTCCGTCCGGCGGTGGCTTGAGCGGTGTCCCGCGGTGTCCCGTGGTGTCCCGTGGTGTCCCGTTGAGTGAGATCGATCGTGAGATCGTGAGATCGATACTAAGATCGATGTGGTGCCCCGAGGTGTCCCGTGGTGTCCCGTTGAGTGAGATCGATCGTGAGATCAATAGTGAGATCGACAAGTGGCCCGTGGTGTCCCGTGGTGTCCCGTTGAGTGAGATCGATAATGAGATCGATAATGACATCGATGTGGTGTCCCGTGTTGTCCCGTGGTGTCCCGTTGAGTGAGATCGATAGTGAGATCGAGAAGTGTCGCGCGGTGTCCCGTGGTGTCCCGTTGAGTGAGATCGATAGTGAGCTCGAAAATGAGATCGACATGTGCCCCGTGGTGTCCCGTGGTGTCCCGTTGAGTGAGATCGATCGTGAGATCGATTGAGTCAGATGTTGGTTCTCCCTCCTCTCCCCCCTACCACCTCCTCATCACCCGAAAGGTGGTCGTATAGGTATGTATACACACATAGCATGCATGCCGAATGAGAGAGACAAGTATATCAATCAAAACAAGTATCGTTTTTGAGTGCAGTTTTCGCCATCACCGTTATCAGCTCGTTGTTCACTATCCTTCACTCATGTGTCCTCTTCCTCTTCGTATTCCTCGTCCTCGCCTTAGTTGCCCCGCGAAGCCTTCCCCGTTTTCCTCGGATATGTTTGCGGAGGCTCCTCCGAGGCGAGCTTCGGGTGGACCTCGCGAAAGCTTCTTAGGGGCTCCTTGGGCGCCTCTGGAGACGTCCGTGGCGCCTTTTGGCGGCCTCGGGGGGGTCCTCGGGCCGCCATGCCGCGAATCGTGATATAGGGCAACGGTTTGAATGCTTCCGGAGGGCGTCTTGGGGCGATTTTAGCCCGTCATGGGGACATCTGCGGGCAGTTTCTGGGCACTCTCGGACCGTCTTGAAGCTCTCCAGCACTGTCAGAATCTTTTGTGTCATCTTTGAACTGTTTTCGGTGCCTCTCGGGCATTTCTCGGACGCCAGGATCTCCGATTAGCCAAAATCGCAAAACCCCCAAACATCGGAAATCAATATTTGGGGCCGTCTTGGGGGTCACAGTTGGGCCGTCTTCGGGCGTCTGGCGGGGGTCCGGGGCCGCTGGGGGCCATCTTGGACGGTCTTGGGGGTATCTTGCGACCGCCGCTGATCCCGTTTCAGGGGGGGGGTCCGCAGGGTCCCAGATTATAAATAGATAGTAAAGAGAAGGACTATGTAGACGTGTGTATATGAAGATATGTAAACACGCATGTGCATGTGCAATACATAAATAATATACCATATATACACATACATTAGTATATGTACATCATACCTAAAAATAATGCACGTACAGAAAATGTGTGCTGTGCGCGCTAGGTGGCGCAAACTATATGGTTATATGATGTAACATATTGCGACCATCGCGAACGCAAACCTAAATAGAGCCCTTCCCCGAATCATACACATGTAAACATCCCCGACGCCTCAAATCTCAAACGATTGCTTCAATGAGACCTTGCCGCCAGAGAAGCAAATCCTCGATACAGGCAATCGGATAATGTCGCCGATGGGAAATCTGAAACGGAATCCCCCAATAATTACCCTACGAAATCATATCGCGTGCAATTCCGGAACATAATACCATACGAGATCTTCTCGCTGGTAAATGCTTAACACAACTTCTAACGAATGTATGCAATCATGAAATGACCCAGGAAACCGTGTGGAAACCCTCGTCGGCCGAACATATTTCGCTAACATTCGGGATACAACGTTCTCTGGTCACCATCATTTCGATTGTCCCGAACACGTATAACAAACAAGCTGCTGCGACGTCGTCCCCCTGGAAGGCTGCTGGTGAATCTTGCCTCTAGGACGTATCCTGGGAAATCTCATAAGATATCTGATGGGAAACCTTGCCGGCCCGAACTACCATTTCGGCGCATCCACCAAAACCCGCCATCGTGCCCTGAGGCACGAGTCGGAGGGTCCCCAGGTCCTTGGCCTACTCCCTTCAGCCTCAGTCCTCAACCCTGCGGATTCTTGAAAAAGCACGGGCCCCGAACTCCACACCTCCCGGGGTTTCCTGCGGGCCCCCCGGGCACTGCCGCATTACTTGTTCGGGCACAGGAGGGCGCCATGACGGGCACAGAACGAGCGCCCAACGAGGCCCCCAAGACGGTCCAAGAGGGCCACGAATCGCCGAAAGTTCGGTCCAAGACGCCCGAGATGGCCGAAAGACGGCTGAAGAGGCGCACAAGACGCCTCAAGAGAGGCCCAAGAGGCCTTCCAAGAGGCGAACATGATCCAATTCCAATGCGAGAAGAACACACACACAAACGCACGCACACACACACACACACACACACACACACACACACACGCACGCACGCACGCACACACACACACACACACACACACACGCACACACACACACACGCATGCACACACACACACACACATTTTTTTAACTTGCGCGAGAAGGTCGCCCCGTGGCTAAGGAGGAGAGAGGAGAGCAGCAAGGGGGGGGAGAGCAAGAGGAGAAGCAAAAGCAGCAGCAGCAGTGCAAAAGAGGCGCGGCCGGCGGCCGACGCCTGGCGCCCCGGCTTTGCGGGGCGCTCGACCCGGCCCAGCGGCGCCCTCCCTAGAAGGAGCCCAGGGCCGCGGCCCCCGCAAGCAGCGCCGCGGGGCCCAGGGCGGCCGGGTCGCGCGCTGCCGCCTCCAGCTGCGCGACCGCCGCCTGAGCCTCCGGGAAGGCCCGCCAAGCCGCGGCGCGCGCCCGCAGCCCGTCCGCCTGGGCCTCCACCGGCAAGCCGGCCAGGCCGGAGGCTTCCCAGAGAGCGGCCGCCGCGCCGCCCTCGCTGGCCCCGCCGGCGGCCGGCTCCCCGTAGCCGCCGGCTGCGCAGCCGTCCTCCGGCCGCGCTGTCGCTGCAGCAGCGCCCTCGTCTCCGGCGGCCGGCTCCCCGTCGCCGCCGGCCGCGCTGCCGCCCTCCGGCCGCGCCGCCGCAGCAGCAGCCCTCGCGCCCTCGGCACCGGCCGGCGGCTTGCCGTCGCCGCCGCCCGCCGGCAAGGGGCCGCACCGCTGGCGCGGCGGCGTCGCCACCTCGTGGCCTGCCCCGCAGGCCGCGCTTGCGTCGTCGTCCCGGTCGGCCCAATTAAGCCCGGGCTGGCGAGCGCAGCCCGGAGGGGGGCGGGCTCTGGGGCGTCGCGGGCGCCGGCGGCGTCTGCTCCCGGCCCCGAGCGGCGGGCCCGCCGCCGAGAGCCTCGTACTCCAGCTCGATTGGGAACTCCCCCCCATCGAGCGCCACCGTCGCCAGGTCGCAACCCGGCCGGTCCGCGGGCGGGCCCGCCTCGCGTGGCAGGGGGCCCTGGCTCAGCGGCCCCAGCGCAGGAGCACCTGCCCGTCCGGCAGGTCCGTCGCCGAGAACCCCGC